CGTGACTGTGTCCTCGGGCAGGTCCGAGACTCGGAGGCTCAAGGCCCGACTCTCGCTGAAGCCGATTTCTGTGTGGCGCTGGTAGAGGATGAGTCTGCGGACGCCGCCTCTGTGCGCGCAGCCTCCGTCGGCCCTCAGCGAGCAGGAGATCTCGGTGGTGGAGCCCACAGCCACCTCGTGGGCCGGTCTCACGGTGATGCTGCCCAGCCTGCACACCTCTGCAGGGACAAAGAGGACGGGCCCCGAGGGTGAGAGGCCACCGCGCAGGAAGGAAACGCGAGCCCGCGGGGTCCAGGGAATAGGAGCAGCCCTGGGTGACCACCAACGCGCAGGGCCGCGGAGCGGCAGGGGCCCTTCAGGAACGCAGTTCCCGGGAACCCAGCCTCTCTCGCAGCAGACTGCGGAGCAGGGCTCCCCGGGGTCAGTCACACTCGCTGCCCGCCGCGTCTCAGAATGGCTGCCTGGGTTCTCTAGCAAGAGCCAGGGCGTGTCCGAGCTTTGATTTCTGCGGGATCCCAGCCCCGGGGTGCAGGGGCCTTCACCTGACCCGGCTGAGAGCAACGTGAGCGTTCTCGGTATTGCTTTACTATCGCTTGCCACACGGAACCCTCCCCTCAAGGGCAGGTCATGTGCTTCCCCCTGGAAGTTTCTTACTGAAAACAGGGCAGCTACTCATAAATCAGCGGTTATGGGGGGCTCGGCAAGCATCCAGGGGAGAACCGCAGAAGGAAGGGTTCACCCTGAATTTCAGGAAAGTCGTGTTAGGTGGCCGTGTACTAGCTGGGGTCAACTACCATAAAGAGGAACTGGCAACGAAATTCTTTAATTCAAACAGAAGCACTGAAAGGAAAGGAAGTGCTGAAAATTATCTTTAATGAGACGTTTCGTTTCTATTTTCAGAGCTACCATGGAATTTCTCTCTCTCATCTGACATGTTTGGTTTTGGCTTCTTTCATGTCCTTTGACTCAAGTGGCCCCCAAAGCGAAAACTAAGCTCTCAAGAAAGCAGAGAAAACGTCAGGCACGATTTTGTTTCAGCAGAGCTGAATTTCCTGTGACACCGCCCTGCTGAATCGCACCGTGATGAGAAGGTGTTCACACCGCCACCTTCTTCGGAGGAGAGGACAGGACCGCACCCGCATTCATTGTTAGGATAAATGAAACGCATGCGGGCTGTGGACACAGAGCCCGACTCAGTTCGGCGACAACGGAGCAGCACAAGACGGCCTGGGCATCGGCCCCGAAGGCTCCGTCCATCTGCCACTCCGAATTAAACCACAAACCCGGCCACGGCCGCGCTTACAGAAACGCTTACCTATTTCTGCTTCGATCAGCAGCCACACGGCCACGAAAGCGGAAGCCAGCAGGCTGCCCCTCGCGGGGGCCATGGACAGACAGCTCCAGGCGTCGCTCCTGGGAGAGAAGGCAAACTCACCGGTGTTAGAGACGCTCAGAAGCGCTCGGCATCGCTGAGGGCCCCACCAGGGCTTCCCCACATTAAGGTCCATTGGTTATTTTTTTTTTTAATAAACACATTTCTGCGATGGCTTGGGCCAACTTTCATCTCAGCGCAGGTTCTTAGGGTTGGCAGAGGGTTGTAGCAGGAGACTGACCTTGCCCCCCCACCGCCCTGGGGCCTGCAGGGCGGGGACCCTTCCAGGACAGCACCAAGCCCTCCTGCGGGCCCTGTCTGTGATTTGAGCACCCGAGGCCCCGGCTCCAGGGCTGCCCTTGAGCATTAGGGTTCAGACGTGCACGGGGGTGGAAACGTTGGGCTGTGACGTTCCGAGACGGCGTCCCGTTCCACAAGGAGCCAGCTTCTCTGCAGGCAAGGCTTCCGTGCCAGAGGCCGGCAGAGCAGTGGACTGGGAGAGTTTGTACTCCAGTCTCGTGACCCGAGGAAGCACCAGACTCAAAAATGGCTCCCAACCCTCTAGGAACTGAGTAAAGATCCCTCTCTCTGGCAGTTAAGAATGGGATACACATTCCACCACCACATCAGTAGTGGTGCCCACCTGCAATCGCAGCACTCAGGAGGCTGAGGCAGGAGGATTGCCTCAAATTCGAGGCCAGCTTGAACTACATAGCAAAACCCTGTCTCAAACAAAATAAAACAACAACAAAAACCTACTAAACAGAGGAATTCCAAAGGTTTGAAGAGAGTTGTTCAGATGTGGCAATAGAAACTCAATTTTACTGGTTCATTTGTGTATTCTTTCTTTCCTTTTAAAACAGAATTTCGCTATGTAGCCCAGGCTGGCCTCACATTTGAGGCAATCTTTCTGCCTCAGCCTCCTGAGTGTCCGGATTATAGGTGTGCGCCGCTACACCTGGCTGTACTTGTGTATTCTGCCTTCTTTTCTGAGTATTTTTATCTTAAGTAGTTCTGAAAATAATAAGCTGATAATTTCTGATGTGTTCCGATTTCAAACCCAAGCGATGGCTCTACTAATCATTGGCAAATTCTCTAAAGCTTTAAAAAGTGAGTCCCAGATCTGGGGTCGCCATTCTGCTTCCGCACAGGCCACCGCGCATGCTCCGGGGCTACACCGAGCCCCTCGCAGTCCGGCCGCCTCACCTCGGGCTCCGCTGCTGTCCTCCAGCCTCCTCTCCACGCCCTTGGGAGACCGCGGCATGTTCTTTCGTTCTTTCTAGTTCTCCCTAGGGGATCCTACTCGTCCCCTGGCTCTAAATTTCTTCTTCGTGTCTTTATTTATTTGAAACAGGGTCTCGCTATGCAGTTCAGGCTGGTCTTGATCTCACTATGGGGCCCAGGCTGGCCTTGAACTTGCAGGGAATCCTCCTGCCTCAGCCTCCTGAGCTCTGGGATCTCAGGCATGCGCCACCAGTCCCGCTCTGGATTTCATCCGATCCGCTTCTCTGACTTCCCCGAGCTCTGGCCTCTCTTGGGTTTACCGCACTTCTCACGACACAGATGCACGAGTTAAATTCTCAGCCCCTTCTCCAGAGGGGTTCCTGCCTCAGCCTCTGGCCCAGTGAACAACAGTGTTGTTCCCACCTTTCTCTCTCTCTCTCCCTCTCTCTCATGCCCTACAGCTCCCTCCATCTTGTGAACCTCACCTCCCTGGCGTGTCACACCCCATGCGCTGTGCTGGTTGTCCCTTCCTCTCCGCCAGCCCACCCGCCCCTTCTAAGTCACTGTCACCAGCCGTTGCCAGATCAAATCCAGTCCCTTTGCACACAGCCTCGCCTCCGGCCGTCGCGCTGCCCCCTGGGCTGGAACCACAGCGCGCCCTGCAGCTGGGATGCCACGATCCCGTCCCTGCTGGAATACTCTGCCCCGCTAGCTTAGTCCAGGGTTCAAGGCCTCACCAGGCGTCCTGGACCTCGCCGGACCACAGGGGCCTCCTGCACGGCCTCAGTGTAACTTCTCCCCTGCTTTTCTTCTTTTTGAAGTACAGGGGATTGAACCCAGAGCTTTCACACTAAGCAACATCTCTAGGCCTTTTTAATTTGTTTTTTATTATTGTTGTTTTTCTCTGGGTACCAGGAATTGATCTCAGGACCTTGTGTGGCAGGCATGGCAACATTGAGCTAAATCCCTGGCCCTTTTAATTTGTTTTTAAATTTTGAACCAGGGCCTTGTGATGTTGCTAAGGTGCCCAGGCTGGGCTTAAACTTGTGACCCTCCTGCCTCAGCCTCCCAGTGGAACTGCAGACTTCTTGCTCCTTGTTTCTTGACTTTTTCTTTGGTTTATGGAGTCAGGGTCTCATTAGGCCTGGCTTTACTTAATTTCCCACAGCTGTCTAGTCCTCTGCCTGGGACACAGGACCCAGAGCAGAGCTGCAGGGCCCTGCTGACACCACTTTCAGCCCTCCGTCCTGGGGAGCCACTGAGGACGCAGGAGAGAGGAACAGCACGTGCTGCAGAGCTTGCGAGAGTGGCCTGGCAGGGCAGTGACAGCCTCCGGCTGTCCCCATCCTCACCAGCTACGACCAAGGAGAGGGGCAGCAGTGAGGGGCTGGGAGAGAGGTAGGGGCGGCTCCCGGCAGTGGACCCAGCCCAGCAGGCTGTCGACGCACAGCAAACCCCGTTCTGCTCTCAGCCTCACCACTCGGCTCCTTTACCCTCTGGGAAGGGTTTGGCTCCTCGTTTCAGGTATTTATTATACTCTGGGTGTCTCATATAAAGAACCGTGTGGAGTCTGAGCTGTGTGTCTGATCTGTTTCTCAGCACCAGGGTCTTCAGGCCTCCCTCCTACCAGCGACTCACGTGCACCCTTCTCTGTGGCGCGGTGCTGCCCCACGGTCTGTGAACACCACGTCTGGTCTGCTTCACCCGTTCACCTGTGGACGGACACCGGCCGCTTCTGGGAGCCAGCTATCCTGAGCGCGCTGCTGCGAACGCGGGTGCAGGGATCCCCTGTAACTCCTCGGGAAGGCGCCTGGGAGGCCAGCAGCTGGCTCAGATGGATCACGGATGTCTTAGCTCTGATCCCCCAGACCCAGAAGTCCAAGGCCTGGAGAGCAGGACCTGTGAGAGCCGACTCCTCCCTTCACAGCCCCCACCCCGGACTGAGATGGAGCGAAGGTGCCCCGAGTCCGCCCTCCTCACCTTTCCGCTGCCCCCGAGCCGCTGTCCTTCACCCAGCAACTCTGAGAAGCGGATCGGACCAGGATGGTGGGGGACCGGCGCACGCACGGG